TTCTGCATATGTTGTCAAACAGTCCTCAAATATTCACAAACTATCTTACTTGCCTTCCCAACCACTCTTCCCTAGTCCATATTTTCTATCTCGATTACTCTTTTATTGCTAGTGTTCCACTATTGGAACACTAGGCTGGTGGGAGTTGTTATATCCTACTGGCTCAAGGTATCACCAAGGTCTGATTTTTCACAAAAAAATTGCAACCTCCAGCATAAATGGGTTTAATCTTCCTCATTTATAAGGTCTCTTCAAGCTGGCACATTTAGTCATCTTTGACTCCTTCCATTATTAATAGTGACTAAATCCTGCCTATAGTCTACATCTAAAATTTCTAATTTACCCTGTCCTCTCCTCTCTCCATCTCACTTCCATTTTCAGATATAAGACCAAGGCCCTGCTACTTCTGACCTAGACAATTCAGCCTTCTTTGAGTAACCCATTACATACCACACACAGTGAAAGGAATTAGAATATGAGGACTAATAAAGCAAAGTAATACCGGTACACCTATCTTGGGAGAGAGAAATGGAAGAATAAAGTTACAACACGATAAATATTACAATTAGAGCAAAACCTACAAGGATGTCAACTTCTTTCCTATTTGATCTAATTCTTAAAATACAACCTGAATTCTCTTTCTGGAATATAAACTAGATTACGTCACGTGTTGTAAGACCTCTGATGATTCGACCCCATTGCCTACCAGGATAAAGTCCAAATGCTTTAATATTGCAAACACTTCACATTTCATCCAACTTACCTAAAAACTTCATTCTATTACTTTTCTTTCACTTCACATCCTATGACCCAGTCCGTATAACTAAATGCTGCTGTGTATGCTGGGGTACTTGCATAATATCTAGTGATTGTGTATCCTGCCACAAGTTCTTCTTCCTTATGTCTACCAGAGAAATCTGCTCTACACTCAACATTCAACTCCTCTTTGGAAGCTTTATTAACCTTCTCTGCCAACGTAGATTCTATACAATCTGGTTTTTTGTTTGTTTGTTTGAGACAGGGTCTCACTCTGTCACCCAGGCTGGAGTGCAGTGATGTGATCTTGGCTCATGGTAGCATCAGGCTCCCAGGCCAAGCATCCTCCCATCTCAGGCTTCCCAAGTAGCTAGGACTACAGATGCATATCACCATACCCAGCTAATTTTTTTGTACTTTTTATAGAGACGAGGTTTTGCCATGTTGTGTCACACTGGTATTGAAAATCCTGAGCTCAGTGGATCTGCCTGCCTTGGTCTCACAAAGTGCTGGGATTATTAACGGCATAAGCCACTACACCCAGCCCACAATCTGCTGTATTATCACTTTGTATTGCAACTTGTTTTTTTATCTTACCACCTAGACTGTTGTATTTGTAGGACAATAACTATATCTTGTTATTTCTATCCTTCCAGAGTCTAGTATCAGTAAATATTTCAAGAAATAGTTGTTAATGTATAATGGGGGCTGGGTGCAGTGGCTCACCATCTGTAATCCAGCACTTTGGCATGCTGAGGTGGCGTTGGATCACCTGAGGTCAGGAGTTCAAGACCAGCCTGGCCAACATGGTGAAACCCCGCCTCAACTAAAAATAAAAAATTAGATGGGCATGGTGGCACACACCTGTAATCCCAGCTACTTGGGAAGCTGGGACAGGAAACTATCACTTGAACCTGGGAGGCAGAGGTTGCAGTACGCTGAGATTGTGCCAACACACTCTAGCCTGGGAAAAAAGAGTGAAACTCCACCTAAACAAAACAAACAAACAAACAAACAAAAAAGCTGTATAATAGGGTGGAAACATTTGCAGAGAACCAAAATGCACTATCGTTACTTTTTTTTTTTTTTTGCTGTTTGGAATCGATAGGTCTACTATGTGCCACCACCCCCACATAAACCTGGAGCCCAAAAGAAAGTATGCTTTATTTTCCCCCTCTTCCTATTCATCAGCTTTTTATCCTTCCATCTCATAAATAACAGTAAACAAGACAGAAAGAACCCCTGCCCTCTAAAGGGCTTATATTCAAGTAAGGAGAGGCAATTAATAGGGAAACATACATATATATGGTCATTTCAGATAGTGATGAATGCAATGAATAAAATAAAGCAGTTTGACGAGACAGAATGTGCCACAGGAGAAACATGCTATTTTAAATGGGAATGAGGAAGAAGTGATAGAATGTTTCTCTGAGAAGGTAAGACATAAGCTGAGGCCTAAAGGATGAGAAACAACCCACTATGCAAAATTTTAGGGAAATAATTCTGCAAGCAGAAGGAATTGCAAGTGTAAAGTCTCTGAAGCAGAAATGCACATGGTTGGTCAGGCATGGCGGCTCACATCTGTAATCCCAACACTTTGGGAGGCTGAGGCAGGAAAATTGCTTGAGGCCAGGAGTTCGAGACCAGGCTGTGAAACATCATCTCTACAAAACATTTAAAAATAAAAAAATAAGCTGGGTGTGTTCTTATGCACCAGCTATTAAGTAGGCTGAAGTAGGAGGATCGCTTGAGTCCAGGGGCTGGAGGCTGCGTGAGCTATGATCATGCCACTGCACTCCAGTACGGGCAACAGAGCAAGACCCAGTCTCAAAAAAAAAAAAAAAAAGAGACAATAAGAAGAAATGCACTTGGCTGTTTGAGAGACTGTGTGTCTAAGAAAGGAAATTAGTTTAGAGAAGCAGGGCCTTGTAGGTGGTAGCCATGATGGAGGCCTGACTGCACCTGCCTTGACTTTGGAATTTTGTAGGTTACAATCTTCTCCTCGGTAATATTAGAGCAATAAAATGACGGAATGCAGTATGCAGCCCGCTCTATTGTTAGGAAGAGGCCAAACAATTCTGAAAGTATCTTTTCTAGATACAAGGCCATAACGGTATGGTCCCAGGGCTAATGAAAACTTGACAAGCAGAGAAGAGTAAAAGCACCTGAAAAGAAAGACAAGTTCTTCTGACTACAAGCAAGTCCAAATGAGAAACATCAAAATTATCTCAGATTCAAAGAGGAAACAAAACACAATACTACTCTGAAAATACATATGAGCTATAAATGTATGCTTTTAACTGAATGAATTTTTCCATTCCCATGTAAACTTATAATACAAATCTAGACTAAAGTGATTAAACAGATTTCCACTTTTAATTCACCAAGGTTTTTCTTCACTTTCACAGAAATGAAACAATTGTCTGATGTTTTGAGATTTCAAAGATTTAGATGCATTAGAAACTGCCTCTTAGCAATCATTTTGTGGATGTTTATGTCATAATTATTTAATCCATCCAAGTAGTACTGTGATGTTAAAGTCAATCTATGACATGAAGAAATATTCACAAAACTATTCATTAAAGCAACTCTGTAATTGCTAGAAAGTAAAGCAGTATGAAATTACACATCTTACTCCTATTATAAGTAGCATCTGCTGGCTTTGCTAACCTGAACACAATTCTGAATATAAAGACCCTTTCATTACCCTAATTAAATCCTGAATCTCCAGGTTACCAGCCTTCTAACAGTAAAAATAAATCCATTCTCATCATTCTTAAATTCAAATGGTCTCTGACTAGTATGGTGATGTTTCTCCAAGGTTCTCTATGAGGGATCAGAGGTAAGATTTTGTCCATGTTCTCTATGCAGGACCATCACAAATAGCAGAAGTGGTCAGGCGCAGTGGCTCATGCCTGTAATCCCAGCACTTTGGGAGGCCGAGGCAGGTGGATCACTTGAGGCCAGGAGTTCGAGACCAGCCTGGCCAACATGGCAAGAGCCCGTCTCCATAAAAATACAAAAAAAAAAAAAATAATAAGCTGGGCATGGTGGCACATGCCTGTAGTCCCAGCTACTCTGGAGGTTAAGGCAAAAGAATCACTTCAACCTGGGAGGTGGAGGTTGCAGTGAGCTGAGATGGCATCACTGCACTCCAGCCTGGGTGACAGAGCGACACTCCATCTCAAAAAAAAAAAAAAAGGAAGTAAGAGAGGTAAAAACATAATTACATTATGTTCCCACCCTCCCACCATTCCCCACAAGAGCCAAAGTTTCTTAAAATGAGTCTTCATATTAATCCACAGTCTCAAGAGCTATGAAGAAAAAGAAAATACTTTAGCCTCAAAGATGACCCTTCTACATTCTCCAAGCTAATCTCCAACTTCATATACATATATATTTTTTTGTTTGTTTGTTTGTTTTTGAGACAGTCTTGCTCTGTCGCCCAGGCTGGGGTGTAGTGGCCGGATCTCAGCTCACTGCAAGCTCCGCCTCCCGGGTTTATGCCATTCTCCTGCCTCAGCCTCCGGAGTAGCTGGGACTACAGGTGCCCACCACCTCGCCCGGCTAGTTTTTTGTGTTTTTTAGTAGAGATGGGGTTTCACCATGTTAGCCAGGATGGTCTCGATCTCCTGACCTCGTGATCCGCCCTGTCTCAGCCTCCCAAAGTGCTGGGATTACAGGCTTGAGCCACCGCGCCCGGCCTAACTTCATATATTTATACGGCCTTCTGTTTTCTCTATCTCACTCATCAAGGGAGAGCCATTAAAAAGTATATAAATGGCTGGGCGCAGTGGCTCACTGGGAGGCTGAGGCAGGAGAATGGCGTGAACCCGGGAGGCAGAGTCTGAATTAAACCAAGCCTTATGCCCTTCTTAAAGGACCAACAGCATCTGCATCACCTGGAGTTTGCAAAAATATGCAGAATCTGGGGCTCCACCTCAGACCTCCTAAATCAGAGTCTGCACTTTACTGATACCTGTATGCAACTCTATGTTCATCAGAAAATCTCAGAACTGGTAGAAAATTTAAAAGCCCATTGCACACACATAAAGACAGATGAGCCCTGGATAACAAATAATTGATAATGACCATAGTGCCCCTTCATAAATTATTTCCTATAACAATAGGTTCTCCTTAAGAAACATTTCTTGCAAAACTACAAACGGCTTGTCTTGAAACACACCAAGGCTTATTACAGGTATTGTTGTTAGTAGAAGTCACTGACATAACCAAGTTCTTACCTAATCTGAGCTCTCCGAAGTTCCCACACCCTATCTTCTTGCCAACCCTGAAGTTGGGTCCCACCATAAGAACCCCAGAGGATGACGAGGAGCCAGATGGTCGAGAGCAGTGTGCACTCCTTTGTGCCATGGGTTTAGTTGTCCGTTGTCTTTCATCCTTTTCCCTACTAGGATGGTCCATGATCCTACAGGACAAAGTCTCCGTACAGCAAGTAGCTTCAGTGTGTATACCTCTCTTCAATACAAAAGTATGTCCAAATAAATTGTAGTCAGAGAAAGGTAAGGAGTTCTTTTAGCACCATATTTGTTTCTAATGTATCTCCGGGAGATGAAAAACCATTGATTTGTTCCTGTATGAAATGTAGTCACTAGGTCTCAGGCTTAGTTGAACATCTTGTAACCTAGGTAAAAATCAAGAAAACACGTAGTTAAAAATTAAATTTTAAAACAAATTCAGAAAGTCTCTACTAATTAGAATGAATCCTATCCAAAGGTGAGCAAAATGCATAGCTTCCTGAAATGGGTTTTGGTTTTCTATCCTCCAACAGTTTAACATCTAGATTAGTTATTCACATGGTATCATAAGCTCAGGAGGCTGCAAACCATAGAAGCTAAGGAAACACACAAGCCTTAAATATAAAATGCTTTCTTCTAGTAATGCACATATGACCAAAAAGAAAGACAATTGTTGTTTTTTCCATCACTGGCTAACAGAAATACATAGCAGTGCTGAAACCAAGTTAAAGAAACTGAGGACGATTTAACTTTAAGCTCTTCCTTTTAATTTTGCCAAGACTTATAAGAAATTAGACTATTCACTGCCCCATTCCCCTATCCCCACCATTTACCAAGTACCGGCAAGAATTATGTATTCTACACTTACCAATCAACACAGACAACCTCTATGAAGGAATTTCCAAAACTCTATTGGTATTAAGTAGTCCTAAAATTCTGAAAAGCTAAACTTTTGGTGGTTTTTGCTGTATACTGAGTACGCAATGACATAGCGCCAAAAAGAGATCCTTTGCAGAACCCCAAAGTGAAAATAAAGCAAAAAAACAAAAACAAAAACAAAAAATCTTAAACATAACATTCATCTCTACCAGAATTCTGCAGTGTCCAAATTCAGGACTGAGCCCAGCACAAATGTTTGCAATGAGATAATTTTGATGCTATGTTTGATTATCCATGTGAGTATTCTTAACAAAAAAAAAAATACTGTTACCATTAATCACATACTAAACACACATTTATATTTCACTTTCATAAATGTTTTCCTTAAAACTTAAGGGAAGAGAAGGCTGGGTGTGGTGGTTCACGCCTGTAATCCCAGCACTTTGGGAGGCCAAGGCAGGCAGATCACCTGAGGTCAGGAGTTTGAGACCACCTGGCCAACATGGCAAAACCCTATCTCTACTAAAAATATAAAAATTAGCTGGACGTGGTGGCAGGCACGTGTGATCCCAGCTACTCGGGAGGCTGAGGCAGGAGAACAGCTAGAACCCAGGAGGCGGAGGTTGCAGTGAGCCAAGCTCGTGCTACTGTATTCCCACATGAGTGACAGAGTGACATTCCGAGAAAAGGAAAGAAAGAAGGAAGGGAGGGAGGGAGCAAGGAAGGAAAAAGAAAGACAGAAAACTTAAGAGAATTAGAACAAATGTTTGATTATCATCACCAGTTACACAACAGAGCAAAGATGCCTACACTCTAAACTTCCTGAGGATACCTGTAATTCCCTACTAAAGTAACAGGCAAAAAGCTGTCAGCTGACTGTACAAGTGGGCACATAATCCAATAATACAATCTGTTTGCTTTATTTATTTACTTTTGACATGGAGTTTCACTCTTGTTGTCAAGGCTGCGTGCAATGGCGAGATCTAGGCTCGCTGCAACCTCCACCTTCCAAGTTCACGCGATTCTCCTGTCTCAGCCTCCGAAGTAGCTAGAATTACAGATGCCTGCCACCACACCCAGCTAATTTTTTGTATTTTTAGTAAAGATGGGGTTTCACTCTGTTGGCTGGGCTGGTCTCGAACTCCTGACCTCAGGTGATCCACCCATTTGGCCTCCCAAAGTGCTGGGATTACAGGCATCAGCCACCGTGCCTGGCTTCTGTTTGCTCTATTATAGTTTAAATAAACTGCTTATTTTCATTTTTTGTTTGTTTTGCTTTACAATAGATTTCCATTTATAATGTATATTCTGTAAAGGAAAAAAAATCAAAGCAATGAAAGGAGGTCAGCAACTACTGAACTTCCTACATGAACAACATTAAGAATTCATATTTCCTTATTGTTTCTCCTATTTCCAACTATATCCACTATCCCCTGATTATCCTCGTCTTTAATCCAAATCCCTCAAATGATATTAGAAAGAGAAAAAAAATCATAATTACTAGGAGTATGTCTATGTGTGAGACTGCCAACTATATTTCCTTCCATTATAAATTAATATGAGGACAGAGGCAGAATGTGTCTTAGTCTAATTCAGTGAATTTATAAGTATTCAAGAACTCACAAATTTTCAAAAATTATCACTATGATAGCCTCATTTATAAGATTTGGAAACTGTATTACATTGTCTATTTCTCTTCACATTTTTCATTTTTGCTCACTCTGTTTCTTCCAACAAATGGATGTTATTTTTATAATACTTTGCATTAATTTCTTCCATTGCACTTAGACTAGTATAACATTAGGTGGACTAATCACACATAGCCCTCATTATCCATGTTTACTTACATGTATGTATTAGAAGAATTAGAATTCTAAAAACCTGTAGAAGCCAGGTGCAATGGTATATGCCTACAGTCCCCAGCTACTTGGGAGGCTGAGATGGGAGTACTGCTCAAGCCCAGGAGTTTAAGGCTGGAATGTGCTATTATCACGCCAGTAAATAGCTACTGAACTCCAGCCTGGGCAACACAGAAAGACCCTGTCTCTAAAAAATAAAAAATTAAAAAATTAAAAATTAAATTTAAAAAATATATATTAAAAATTAAATTAAAAAAAAAAAACCCTATAGAAAGCCAAAAACTGTCTGGGCGTGGTGGCTCGTCCATGTAATCCCAGCACTTTGGGAGGCCAAGGTAGAAGGATTACTTGAGCCTAGAAGTTTGAAATGAGCCTGGGCAACATAGGGAGACCCCATGTCCACAAAAAATTTAAAAATTAGGGCCAGGCACGGTGGCTCATGCCTATAATCCTGGCACTTTGGGAGGCCAAGGCGGGTGGATCACCCGAGGTCAGGAGTTCAAGACCAGCCTGGCCAACATGGCGAAACTCTGTCTCTACTAAAAACAAAAAAATTAGCCAGGCCTGGTTGTGCCGGCCTGTAATCCCAGCTACTCGGGAGGCTGAGGCGGGAGAATTTCTTGGACCCAGGAGACGGAGGTTGCAGTGAGCCGAGATCGTGCCATTGCACTTCAGCCTGGGCGACAAGAGCAAAACCCCATCTTAAGGAATTAAAAAAAAAAAAATAGCTGGGCATGGTGGTGCACACCTGTGGTCCCAGTGACTTGGGGAGGCTGAAGTTGAAGGACTGCTTGAGCCTGGGAGGTTCAAGGATGCAGTGAGCCATGATTGTGTCACTGCACTCCAGTATGGATGACAGAGCAAGACCCTGTCAAAAAAAAAAAAAAAATAGTCAAAAATCTCACTCAGCTGGGGAAAAATGTTCATAACACCTACTTGTAGAACAGAACAATCACTTTACTTTCCAAAACCATGACAAAAACTGACACTAAAGGTGCTGTGTCAATTTTCTAATCTATGCATGGGACATAAGCATTGCTCAATCTATAATTATGAAAGATGAGACCGGGCACAGTGGCTCATGCCTAAAATCCCAGTACTTTGGGAGGCCGAGGTGGCCAGATCACCTGAGGTCAGGAGTTCAAAACCAGCCTGGCCAACATGGTGATGCCCTGTCTCTACTAAAAATACAAAAAAATATTAGCCAGACATCGTAGTGGGCGCCTATAATCCCAGCTACTTGCGTGGCTGAGGCAGGAGAACCGCTTCACCTGGGAGGCGGAGGTGGCAGTGGGCTGAGATCGCGCCATTGCACTCCAGCCTGGGCAAAAAGAGCGAAACTCCGCCTCAAATAAAGAAAGAAAGATGAATAATATCCAATACTACTTTATGTGGCATCTCTCATTTAAGAAATTAAAGTTACTAAGTTTTTTAGAATCCTATTTCTTTATCACTACCCTCTGCTCAATTACAAACTCTTTGGCGTCTCATTTGAACTCTCTACTTAAATTCATGTAAAACAGTATATGGGAGGTTTCATGAAGTCTAAAAGAAAATTAAGTCGTATTATAAAAGCATCAAAAAAAGTTTCACTAATTTACTGTTTGTGTATTTCAGATTCTCATATATTGGCTTTATCAAAAGTGAGGCACATAAATATTTAAATTTCAAAGTCAAAATACCCTGGGTTTTTGTTAATAATCAAAAGAGAGAGTGCCAGGCTTCTAAATCTCTCTTCTTACACAACTTATGATGAACTTATTTATAGGTATAGGACTGCTGGATCATATGGTAAGTGTATGTGAAACTCAAAAGCAAACCAGGCTCTTTCTGATCTACTACTTCTTCATCCACCACATATTGCTTTTGGTCCTCATGCTTGCTGTTTTTTGGTTATGAGTTTCAGCTTCAGGCATCACTTCCCATGCTACTGTCCAAAACAGAAATAATACGACAAAAACAAAAGTCTTTCTCCTTGTCTTTTTTCTTTTAAATTTTTTTGGTCAAGGATAAAAATTATTCTAAGAAACATCCCAACAAATTTCCCCTTATGTTGGGTTGCCAGTGGTTTTTGTACCAATATCTGCTATTCCAATTGTAAGCTTTTCAAAGAATGAGATCAAAGCCTAACCTGATGTTTAAAACACAGGGTAAGTTTCAAAAGCAGTATCACACCCAGGGTAAGTATTTAGCAAACATTAAGCAAAAATGGTATCTGTGTGCTCATGTGCACACATGAATATGTGTTTATAAAACTATCAAAAACTATAGGACAAATTAAAAGACACTGTAGGACAATTTAAGTACCAATACAAGGCTTGAAATGCATTTAAGCTAAAACAAAACAAAACAAAACAAAACAAAACAAAAGGCCAGGTGCAGTAACTCGTATCTGTAATCCCAGTGCGTTGGGAGGCCACAGTGGGAGAATCACTTGAGCCCAGGAGTTCAAGACCAGCCTGGGCAACAAAACGAGATCCTGTCTCTACAAAATAAAAATAAAAATCGGCCAGGCAATGTGGTGCATGCCTATGGAACCAGCTACTGAGGAGGCAGAACTGGGAGGACTGTTTGAGCCCAGGAGTTCAAGGTTGCAGTGAGCTATGATAGTGCCACTGCACCACTTCAGTATGACCTTGTCACCAAAA